GTGTGTGTGTGTGTGTGTGTGTGTGTGTGTGTGTGTGTGCTCTTACCACACATAGTTTTAACAAATAATCTGTAAAAATGACTGAATTATGGACATTTTTGCTCTTGGTCAGATGGCTGTAGAGGCCATCTTGATTTGATTGGCTCCTAAAGTCAATCGGATAGACATCCTATGAGTTGGATGGTTTATCAAAATCTCTGGCTGTTGATATAATTTGCAACGTAAATCCAATTTATAATGTTCAAGCTTGAAAAAATTAAATAAAGTTCTGCAAGACGTTATTGCATGGAGCACAAGTTGGGGTGACATTTAAATCCTACCACATCAAATGTGAGCTCAGTGTCTTGAAAATTGACAGAGGTAGCCATTTTTGTGTTAGCTAGTGTTGCTGTGGTAACCATCTAGAATTAGAGTGACCCAAAAAGTTCATCGCTTATAGCTCGATATGCATTGTACAGAAGAGGATTGGGGCCATGGTGGCTCTAAGTTTTATTTATTTATTTATTTGTTTGTTTGTTTGTTTTTCAGAATTCTAACTTTAATATCAGAATATCAGAAATCTGAGGCGAAAACAATACAAATAAGGAACAATTTACTAAAAGGTTGGTTTTCTAATCAAAATAAATGAAAAGGTTAGTATTTATAACAACTGATTTCATTACAAATACTTAATAACGGCAAAAACACAATTACATTTGTAATAAGGAAATATTTTGTAATGTAAATATGTCTCATTTTAAAGCAATTTAAGGGTACTTACAACCTTTTGTAAATAAAATGAAAATAAAGTTTCCTAAAGTTATATTTGTTTCAACCAAACGTGTGAAAGACTGAAGAGAAATCAACAAGAAGTGTGGTGAATATGATTTTAAACACTCAGCCTCAAAGCACAGTAAAAAGTACACAAGTATATTAATGAATACATAGAGCTACCGTAATAACTAAAATTCAAATAAAAGTCAAAGCAACAGTAAATAAAACAAACAAACAAACAAAAAAAAGAGGTACTGATTTTGATTTTAAAATAATGTGAACTTATGTAGCCCTAATAAAAATGCTGAATTGGATATTTTTTCTCCTACTTTTCAAAAAGAGGCCACTGCTAGTAAGACTGAAAAAAAAAAGAGTTTATTTTCGCTTCAGTAAAATTCTAAATTTAAGTAACCATGAAAGGAAATAAAGAATTCTTTAGACAAAATCTAAGCCAAAGAATTCAACTGCAAAGCAGATTTCAGCATCGATAAAAGTTTCTCAGTCATTAAAGACGTGCATCCGCAACAATAACCCATACAACAGATTCAAGAAAAGAGGCCAGCAATTAAAGATTTTTTTTTTTTTCTTTGAGCTGAAGCACAGTTACACAGTGCAAAGCAAATACATGGAAACCCACTTTGGATTGATTTCACAAGGGAGATAATCAATTAATCTTCAAGTGAATTCACATTAAGCAGAGGGGACTAACGACACGGGGGAAAAGCCTTTCAGAGGAGCAACGGAGGTTATTCTCCTCCACCATCAATGATGCATTTGACACACATTTGTCATGTCAAGACCCTGTGGAAAATTCCCACCAATTATTCAGTAAAAATCCATGACTTCTACTCCCCTACTGTTTGTGGGAAATCTCTGCTGTCACTTGGTTTTTGCTCTCGCCCTTCCAGAGCCGTGTCCTCCCTGTCATGAGCCGAGGTATTGGGTATTTTATGATGACTGTACAGTCTGTGGAGGAATCTCTGCACACAAATACTGTTGCATTGATCTGCTAATCTAGTGGGGTGGGGAAGAGCAAGACTTTCATTTAGCTAAAATCATTACTTCTCCTGCAAGACGGAGAGCGATAAACGGATTTGGCATGAGAGGAGAAAACTGTTGGAAATATGAGAAGAAACAGAAGAGTAGATGAGTAAAGGAAGAGGAAAGCTGTGAAGAAGCAAGAGGACAGAAGAAAAAATTGGAGCAAAATTGTTGTTTTTATACATTTTGATTTAAAAAAAAAAAACATCTTGCATCTTTCTCTAAGTTGTGTGTGCAGAGAGGAGGTTTTTGCAGCAGTCAATAAGCGCTTGGCGAGTGATCTATCGACAGAGCGGAGCCGTGTGAGAGATGAGTTCAATATACTTCAATTTAGCTCCACTTGCTGTAATTACTTCCACCATGTGTGCGTTTGAGTGTGTGCGCGCCCCCAGAGACAGGCTGGTGTTAATACAGATAAGGAAAGTACGGCTTTGGCTTTTGTACAAGATCTGCTGATTACTGGAAGGTAAATGGTTCATTTGATAAACTTAGTTTTTAATTATGCCATTTTAGGTTATTGCGATCCACAAACTGTCTGTGGAGCCGGGTCAGATGTTGCAACTGATTTTGATCCAGTGGTACAGAGAGACTGGCTTATTTAAAAATCTCCTACCTTCATGTCATGAGTCTACACCTCACAGACATTTAGTGAAATACATTCAAAATACAAAATATAACAGTGTGAACTTTTGATGACAAGATTTGTTGCCTTTTTAAATAGTTAAAACCTAGGGTTGGAAATTACATCACAACCAAGATACTGTACTGTGTATATATATATATATATATATATATAGCGATCGATAGAACAGTGGCTAGAGCAGTCATCCTC